AGACCCAACCTAGACTTTAGAAACAAACTACTGCCAGAGCACTGCAGAGAACCGTTGCTCAAGATACCAATACGGTGTCCTAGCAGATCCGCCTCGTCCATGTAATGCGTCGTCAGCAGAACGGTGTGTGAGGAAGACATTCGCTTCAGCAGCTCCCACGTGTAGCGGCGGGCACCAACATCCATACCGGCGGTCGGCTCGTCAAGGAACACAAGGCGACTCCGACCCACAAATGCAACAGCCACTGAAAGCTTCCGCTTCTGCCCACCTGAGAGCCGGCTGGCAGGAAAATCAACTTTTTCCTGCAGATCTGTCTCATTCAACATCCGTTGCACTGCCTCCTCCAGTTCGGCACCTTTCAAGCCTTTGATTTGGGCAAAAAACTCAAGATGCTCGCGGCACGTCAGCTCCGGCCACAGAATATTGTGCTGCGGGCAGAACCCAATCTCCTGCCGCACACGCGACAGTTGGTGCCGCACCGAAAACCCGTACACGTAGCAGTCGCCGCCGTCAGGCTTCACCATGCCTGTCATCATGTTCAGCGTCGTCGTCTTCCCCGCACCATTGTGGCCCAGAAGCACGGATATCTCACCCTCGCACAGGCTCCAGTACAGATTATTCACCGCGACGAACTGCTTCCCGCCCCGCCGGTACACCTTCCGCAGACCAAGAAGACGCACAGCCCCGTCCTCCTTCACGCCGTCATTTTCAAAGATGCCGTCGACGGCCCGGCCATCAGGGCCGCCCGCCTCGCAATTCCCGCCCTTTTTGCCACGTAACCAACGAATAGGGTCAAGAATAAAAAACAGCGGGTGTTTGGTCGTTCCCCAGTCCTTCGGCATAACAGCATCCAAGTAAAACATGATAAGACAATATAGGAAGAAGTCGGCAATCATTATACAAAACACCACGATTGTCTTTGGCTCATATAAGCTACTCTGCATGCTCTTGGCGGAGAAACCACGCGTGGCTTCAGCCGCCAATATTTGCTGAAGTATCGTGGCCAGGGCAGACGGAGAAAGTAGGGCAAAAATTGTAGTCAACGCAGCGTTTGTTTTGGGTGCTGCCACGGTCGGAAGCGTCATAACAAAATAGATGATGGGTGACAGCAATGCCGCGAGGCGAGCCCTGCTGAAGAAAGCTGCAATGAGGCCGGCGAGTGGGATGTTCGTCAAGGTGAACAAGAAGAACACCAAGAAGATGATGAAGGGATCACTTTGCGTCACGTACGTGCATTTTAGTAGAACCGTAATAAACAAACACACCGTGAAGTCAACCGCAATGAACCTCACAAACCAGGTGGTGTAAAGCACGGAATCCTTCACACCCATGATGAGCATTGCCTCATGAATGCGCATTTCCTTCTCCAAAACAATTGCTCTCGTCCGAGATGCGACGGAGAAGAGGAATGCCAATACAAAAATGAGGGGCATAATGTCGCGGGTATACATTAACAACGGGGACTGATGGTAGTCCACAAACGGCTGCGATGCAATGTAGGCCGTTGTCCGGAGACCTAGGTTGGGGAAGAGTTGGTTGATGTAGTACTCCGATATCAGCTTCTGGAGCGTGAGGTACCCGGAGATGGCGTACATTTCCGCCCTGTTAAATTGGTAGCCGCCAGGGTAGGCGTCTGCGACAATCTCATCAAAGTCCGGCACGGCGGTGTTGTTGAGGTAAATTATGGCATCCAAAGCATCAACGTCAAAGCGACGTATGTGGACGATGCCCCAATTAAATTGATTCGTCTTGGCCTGCACGTTGGCTTCTGCCATCGTTGCGTAGCTGCCGCCGTTCACGTAGTGAAAATAACCGCTAGTTCGCGCAAGCTCGGCGGTCAGCCCGCCAAGAACCTGCAAGTCCCCGACGAAGTACAGCATTCCAGAAGCCAAAATGGCAGAGAAGCGTGTGTTGGGCAATCCACCAATTTCTGCGGCGCTCGTGGTGCTGTGCTTGCGCGCCAGCCACTGAAAAAAGATGATGCCGTCCAGTGAGGGAACCTGCGCGACGCGGCCAGTAAAGCCATTTAGGAAGGATCCAAGCAACTCTGGCACGCCAACCCAAGAGTACACACAGAGGCCCTTAACCGGCAATGTACTCTCGTCTCCCTCGCAATCAACAAGCCTCACTGGATCACAAACAGGAAGTCCGGGTACCCCGCCCGGGGTACGGGAACACGAGTAGGTCACGTAGTAATTTGTGGAAATGACGGACTGAAGTTGGTTGTAATCCACAAAGTTTGTCGCGGAAAAGTGGTCCGTTCCCCACAGCGACCACAAAATAATGGTGATGCAGACAAAGATGGGCGGCACTACAAGTTCCAGCAGAATCGGCGCTCGCATCCGCAGGCACTGCCGAAAGAGACGCTCAGTCACTGCAAGCAACTGATCCAAAAAAAAGGACTCCCGCACCTCATATGCGGCGAAGTCTTGCTGCGGGCCTTTTTCCTCCTCATGCATCAAGTTCACTCTTCGTTGCTGAATGGCCCGCCGTTCATCGCTCGAAACACGATTTTTCCGCCCACGCCGCAACGGCGCTTGGTTGCCGGAATCTTGTTGGTTCTCGCCGTCACGCTCGTCAGACATTTCACAGTCGCCGGCGCCCACCCACGGCCCCTGCAAGGGGTTGTAGTAGCCGAAGCCGCCGACGTCCTCCATGGGAGAAAAATCCATGACTTTCTACCGCCGCCCCGTCTTGACGCAACTGCTCTGGCGCGTTATCCCCCACCCGCCCCCAAACGCCTTTGCCGCCCAAGAAGAAAACCTGCAAGGAAAACAAACAAACAAAAACGGGGTGTTTCACGGCCTCCACGTTTCCTCCTCCCACTTTTGTGCGTGTGTGTGTGTGTGTGTTTTGCTTTCTCTTGTGCCTCCCCTGCAGTTCGTTGCGTCAGGATCAGGCACAGAAAGGGACGAAGAGAAAGAGTGAGAGTCGGCAAGCGACAGGGGCAAGCAGCGGCAGGGGCGCCAGAAAAATCAGTTGCGCCTGCACTCGGTAAGCGCCAAAGTAAATCCCAGTTCCCAAAGGTGGGAACACCGCGTGAAACGTCCTCCCCCACCACAGAGCAGCGTCTTTATTATTTTTTTTTTTTCGTTTTTTGTCGGCGGTCACACGACGGAGACAGAGTAAAGAGAAGAGAAAAGCAAACTAAATTGCGGTGAAGAAGTGGCAAGCCGAACCACATCGACGCAGAAGAAGTGAAGTAAAGAGAGATATATATATATATAGAAAGACAGGGGCAGAGGAGAAGGAGAAGGAGAAACGAACGCGTAATAAGAGAAGTAGTGCAAAAAAACAAGTACGGGAAACGAAAAAACTAAGCGAAAGGCAGTGAAAAACAAGGCGGCGAACATCAACAGAAGAAAAATGAAAAAAGAAAAAAGAAAAAACTAAAAACCAAAAACTAAACAACTTGAGCTGTCTAGTAGAGAAGCATCGGAAGAATGCACCTCGTCCGGGGAAGATAAAAAAGGCAACACCACTTTGCAAAACAACAGCAAGAAAAGATCCACCAGTAAACAAAAAAAAAAAAGATGCTCAATAGAAATTCAAAGTGCCGTTCAGACTTACTTGTAACTACCGCCATACCCACATATACGAATGACGACCAGCACTACGTATATACCTACACATAACATCGCATTCTCACATCAAAGGCACTGTCATCACTTTTCACACTACAAACTCCGGCCCTTCCTCCCGCAGGGACATTCATCACGTCAGCACCAGGGACAGCAGACACACTTATCCGCCTCCGTCGCTCGCTGCGCCTCCTCCTCGCGCGCACGCTCAGCCTCCTCGCTGATGCGCAGGAACACCTGCTCGATCGACGTCTGCGACACGTGGTAGTCCGTCAACCCAAGCGAACGAAAGTGATTCTCAAGCAGATCAAACGCCACTGAGAGCCTCGTGTCTCTTGGCAGAGAATAAATCATGCGATCCGCGCGATGCTCCACCAACAGTGATCCATGGAAGTATTCTTCAAAAAACAGCTCAACCGCCGCAACTGTCGCCGCGTCGCGGCGACCAAGGCGCAACGCTACCTCAAAACCNCTGCCAAAACTTGTTCTTCAGATGCGTCTTGTCACCGATACAGC